CCTGACCTGAGGCCCTGTTAGGCTCACCCTTGACCATATGAGTTCTTCATGGACCCACAGATTGGGACTCCTCACCCACTTTACAGCTGGGCTGCGTCTCAGCTCACGCTTTCACACACTCTCACACAGCACAGTACTTCCACCAGCTCCCTGAACCTGAGAGACACGGTTTCACCCTAAAAGGCAGTTACTAGGTGTCTCTGGGAGGTGATCCAATCTCCCCTTCTGCCTCCTAAAGGCAGGCCTATTATGTTCTTACCAGTCTGATCGCCAGCACTCCCCTCAGTGGTTCCTGTGCCTCTCCAGGTTCCATTGGGCACCTGAGGCACTCACCCAGACTTGCTGGAAGGACAAATCCATCCTCCGGATCAAGCTGTCCATTGGCACCTGGCAGGATCACTTCTCCTGGCAGTCCAGGGGATGCACCCCAGAAAAAAGGGAGGTAAAAAACATAGTCTCCATAATCCTGGATGATCCCCCAAGAAATGTTATAGGAAATTCGAACAGAGATACAGGACTCTGAGTGAGGAAGCAACACTTTATTGTGCTGACACAGACTCAGCAGACTTGTGTCCAAAGTCTGAGCCCTGAGAACAAAGGAGTCTCACCTTATATACCCTAGAAAGCAGGTTACAGAGGCAATAAAATTAAAAAACAAGGTTTAACCCATATATGGTTACATGCAACTCTATAGGCTACTTCACCTTAGTACTAGTGCCCTCTATCTCTAGTGCTATGTGACCTGAATCCTTCAGGTTTTATCTCTCTGCTATGCTGTCCCTTCTCCCCTGTCTGTTTCCTTCTAGGCCTTCTCCCTGCTACACTTCCTCTACTTTCTTCACTGGCTTACCACACAGTCTCCCCTGCATTCTGGAATAGTTTCTCAACTGATTTCTATTCTTCCAATTGTCTTGTGCTTCTGAGGCAAAATAGATGAGATAACAGGGAAATTAAAAATAATAAATGTTAAAAGGGCCAGACTCAGAAATTAGAACCAGGAAGTAAACTGAAAGACTAGAGCAGCAAGCTCTCCTCCTATCACCTTCTCCTTTTAGATGTTAAGTTATAAGAACTTATAACTTAAGGAATGCAGGAAATGTTTCTCCTTTTTTCTTTTTCTCCTTTACCCTGTTATACTAAAAGAAATTCTTGCTAAAATTTCTACCTTGTAAGACTCATTTGTGTGTGTGTGTGTGTGTGTGATTCCTTAAATTTCTCTTTGCTGTGGATCTCAAGTTCTTGTCATTTTGTGTGGAAGCAGGAAAGCTGAAGGACACCCTCTTGTCTCTCCCCTGGTAATACTTCTATTGAGGCAGGCTAAGAAAGAGGGAAAGAAGCTGTGAGACTTTCAGGCTCCATGTAACTTTTTCCAGGACATTTCCAAAAATGGGCAAATGATCTGAACAGACACTTCTCAAGAAGTATAGCAGCAGGTATAGTGGCTCAATCCTGTAATCCTAGCTACTTGAGAGGTGGAGATCAGGAGAGAATGTCAGTTCAAGGTCAGCCCAGACAAAAAGTTTGTGAGACTCCAACTACAAAGAAAAGCACAAATAGGAGGATCGTGTTTCAAGCTGGTCAGGCATACAGTGAGACCCTATCTCTAAAATAACCAACACAAAAAGGGCTGGTGGAGTGGTTCAAGTGTTATGGCACATGCCTAGCAAGTGCAAGGCTCTGAGTTCAACCCTTAGTACTGCAAATAAGAACAAAAGAAAGAAATACAAATGGCCAACAATATATGAAAAACTGTTCAACATCTTTATTTTCTTCCATCAAGGAAATGAAATCAAAACTACATTCAGTTCCATTTTCCCAGTCAGAATGACTATTAAAAAAAAACAAAAATAGCACATGCTGAAAGGATGTGGAGAAAAAGGAAACTTTATGGAGGGAATGTAAACTAGTACAGCCACTATAGAAAACCATCTGGAGGTTTCTCAAAAAACTAAAAATAGAACTACCACCTGAAGAAGTGTTAAGTCAGCATACAACAGAGACACCTGCACACCCATGTGTGTCACAGCAATATCTTTAATAGCCAGACTATGGAATTAGCCTAGCTGTCCATTAGCAGATGAATGGATAAAGAAAATGTGGTACATACACACGATGGAGTACGATTCAGTCATAATAAGAATAAAATTCTATCATTTTTAGTAAAACAGATAGAACTGCAGGTCATCATGTTAAGTGAAATAGGCCAGACTCACAAAGACGAATATTGTATGTTTTCTCTCATATGAGGAAACTAAAAACAAAACAATTATGACTTGAAAGTAAAGAAGGAACTAATAGAGGAGGTGTGGGGTCAGGGGAAGGGAGGAGGGGCCGCGTGTTAGGGAGAGTGGATGTGTAGAAAGCATGATGCACGCATGTTTGGAAATGTCATGAGGCACCCATTGGTCTGTGCAATTAATAGGAGCTAATAATCATAGTGATAATAAAAAGCTTTGTCTCACATCAACATCAGGACTTTTGCAAACAGCACCCCAGGTATACTCCCACTCTTCGGCTCCCCCGCTTTTCATTTCCTGAACATCAGGCACCCCTTGATGTTTTCCTGCAGTCTCACCTCTATGGTCTGCCGTCACTGTCTCCCTCAGGTAATAAGGATAATTTCCAGCCAGGTATCCCCCTCACCTTTGTCTTGTAACCAAATCCCACTTACTCTGGCACAGTGGTCACTGTGCCCTGTGCTTTGGGTGAAGATTGGGTAGAACATAGCTCCACATTCTCTCAGGTGTGGGAAAAGGAGGGGGTACAGCACTGAGGCCTAAGGAAGGCAGAGGACCTCCAGCCCCCATCCCACTGGGCTGGACACAGGGCCTAGATGCATGGGGGCTGTTGATAAGTTGTCCATGGATGGTCTCTACTTTCCAGCCATCTTGTCCTCCTCCCATTGCCTCTACCTGACTCCTCTCTGGCCTTTGTGGAGTCGGATGTACATCCTGCCCCTCCTATCCAGGTGGAGCTCTATTAGACTTCAGGCAGACATCACCATTTAGGGGCAGCTAAACCCAGAGAAAAGCAGGCTCTGGCCCAGGGTCACACAATTAACTGGCGGGGGACAGACTCCTGACCCTGGCTCAGGCCTCTGCCCAGGGGCCTACTGTTCCTACAACACTCAGGGCAGTACAGGCAGTCTCAGGAGAATGGGAGGAGCCACTTAGAGATGAGGCATGGCAGAGACAAACCCCACTGGCTGGATCTTGCAGGGGAAGGGGGGTGGTTGTAGGGGGTTCATACTGCCTGGCCCACTTTCTCCAGGACACTCTATCCAGCTCCCACAACCATTCTTCAACCTGTCACAATGCCAGCCATAGTCCTGGCATCAGCCAGCCACAGCTCTGGGAGCAACACCCTCCCATTTCTCCTGGCTCTGGTAAACACAACTAGCAAAGGGGGTTGACTGTATTTCCTATGCCAGAAAGCTGAGGTCAGGGAGGGGTAGGAAATAATTTGAGGACACAAAGTAAATGAACTGAGACTGGAAGTCAAGTTTCTGCTATTTAATTCATATTTAGGAAATTGGAGTGAGATGAATAAGATATCATGCCCTGGAGGACTCCAGTCTGGAGCAGGGGACAGGAGGAAGAAATCAAGATGCAGAAAGCAGTGACACCTAACTGATGTCTATGACACAAAGCGTTATGGAGGCTCAAGGGACAGAGGCCACTTCTGGGATGGAAGGAGGACATCCAAGAGGCTGCCCTGGGGTCAGCATTAAAATCAATTCTCTTGCTTTAGGGACAGTTCCACTGGAGAAAGTAGGGAGAGTCAAATTGTATTGAGTTGAGAAATTTGTGGAACAACAGTTGCAAAACTCCAATGACTGGTGTGTGGAGGTGCTGGGGAGCCAGGAAAGTAAAAGGCATCAGAGGTGCTTTTGGAAAAAGGTCTCTGGCAGCTGTGTCTGAAGCTGCTGCAGGCCTGGTGTGGAGAGGTCATGGCAGTGCACAAGAGGGACACACTTCAGAGGTATCAGAGGGAGGTGAGCTGACAGGACTAGGCCTGATTGTAGGCAGGGAAGGGAGGCAGTAGGGAGGCAAGGGAAATCAGGAAGGGCTGTTCAGGCAGAACATGGGGTAGAGCATGGACCAAGGTGAATCAGAGGTGTGTGAGACTCCCATGGGGAGAAGAAGGGTCTGTGGGTAGAGAAATTCTGACTTAGTGGTCCTGGAAACTAAGGGAGGGTCAATGCCATATCTAGGTAGAGATGCAGAGGGAAATCAAGGGACTCCTTTGTCAAAGGCAGCATTTCTCTAGACCTGGTATGGTAGCCATTAGCTCAAGAGCTAATTCAGACTCTAATGGAGTCTGAATTCAGAAGTGCTGCAAGAGTAATGTACATCAGATTTTGAAGACAGAACCAAAAAAGGAATGCCAAAAAATTTCATTAATATCTTTATATTGGTCACTTGTTGAAATGCAAGTACTTTGGATACACTGGGTTAAGTTAAGTAAAATATATTATTTAAGTGAATTTTATCTATTTTTTGCTTTTAAAATACAAATCTGGTAGGAAATTAAAAGTTGCACAAGTGGATTGCCACACATTCCTATGGGACAACATCATTCTAGATCCTGAATTCTACAGGATGTGAAATAAGTGTGGAAGAATAAAGTGGGGCAGAAGGGTAGATGTTAACATTTACAAGCTACAAATAGTTAACATCAAATTGGATCCTCAAGGTAGGCATCACCTCTCAAATTGAGTTGCGCACACATGTCCCGTTCCACTGGACCTCTGTGGGATGAGGGATCTGCGGAACCCACTGGGAGAGATGGTGTCTTGAAGGCAGAACAATAAGCCTGTGAACTATCTATCAGGAAAGAGAGCAAGAAGAAGCAGGACAAACATAGGGTGCCACAGAACCAGAGGAAGCGGTGGCCAGTGCAGGTCTGGAGCAACGGAAGAGCGAGACAGGTAGGAGGCCCAAAGGGAGCCCCTCTGGCCAGGCTTGCTGGCTGGCTTGGCTGAGTTCACTCCAGAGGCTTCAGGCGGTAGCGGAAGCACACCTCATAGCTGGGCTGTGAGATGCCAAAGCCCCACCGGTCTGGTCACAAGGGGGCACAGGTATATCAGGGTCTACCAGCACCAGGTCAAAGTATGTGACCATGAGCAATACAAAGAGCTTTATCTCACTGAGGGCAAAGAACCTGCCAGGGCAGATGGAGACACCTGAGCCCCAAGGCATGATGTAGTGGTGGATCTTCTTGCCTGCTTTATAGAAATCCACTTTTCGGCTGCCATTGGAGTTGAGGAATCGATCATACTTGAAGGTTGTAGGCTCAGGGTGGATTTCAGGGTCCATGTGCACTGAGAGGTAGGGAAAAAGGGCTACTTTATCTCCACGGCGTAACAGGTACTCCTGCCCACTGGCCATCTTCAGGGTATAATCACTCTCCACCACCCTAAAGAGGGTGGGTGCAGCCTTCAGACGCAGGGTTTCTTCCATCACACTGTCCAGGACTGGGGTGTGTTTCAGGGCACTGAATTTGAAGGAGAAGAACTTCTTGGGTTCCAGCCTGGCCTCACCCAGGACCTGGATGGCCTCCTCCCTCACAGCTTGCATGGCTTCTGGGTGTTTCATGAGGAATAAGAGGGCCCAGAAGGAAGTGGGCCCTGTGTTCCCCTGGGAGGCCCACAGCATCATGAAGATGAATTTGTCCTGCATAGCTGGAGCTATTCCCTGCTCCCTCAGACGCCGAAGCATGTAGCATAACCAGGTGCTCATGCTATCCCTCTCCAGGCTGTGTTTCACAGACAGTGTCTTGTGAAAGAGATGCTGGAGTTGAGCCACTTCTAGCCACTCCCGGGGCCCCAGTAAATTGTAGACAAACCTGGGAAAAAGGAGATCGAATCTGCGGAACTTCACGAATATCTCCTCTGCCCGTAGCAGGTCCTGTTCCTTGTCCTTTGTGTAGCCAAACAAGCTCAGGTAGCCAGCCTTGAACAAGATGTTGTAGCAGAAGTGAAAGAGGCCATCCTCATGCCAGCAACTGGCGTCTGGACTCCAGCCTTTGGGTCCCAGCATCACCAAGGACAGGCTGTCCAGCATGGCTGTATTGAGAACCTCCAAGCCAGCGCCCATCAGATACTTGGTACTGGCTAAGTGTATCATCTGAATGTCCCCCTCCACCGACTGATATCCAAATACCTTTAGCACCAGTTGTTGTGAGTACTTCACAAAGTCTAGTTTCTTCTGTGATTCCTTGATGATAGGGCCAAAGGACAGGGGGTCCATGATAAAGGTGAAGTATTGGCCCCCTAGCTGCACTGTGAACACATCCCCATGCTTAGTCCACATTCCTTTCAAGAATTCAAACGCATTCTTCCGGAAAGCCATGGCATGGCCGAGCAAGGGCACAGGCCCTTGTCCAAAGGGGGTTCCTGGGGCTTGCGTTGTCGGAGCAGCCCTGGAAGACACAGGCATACCACAATGGCCGCAAGCAGGGCTCCTAGCACTGCACCCCAGAGTACCATGGTTTTGCTTCTGCAGGCTAAGTTCTGCACAGACACTTGTTCTCTGGGTGCCAGTAGAGCTTTGCAAGACCTTGACAAGTCAGGAATACAAAGGTCTGTGCATTTGGACCTTGCCCTGTGACTAGAGCACAAGTTGTGGCAAATAACTAATGAGCTAGCACCTGGGAGAAAAATGTCACTCTGATTTAACACATGGCCATATCTGGTCAGGTGAGAGGAAGAGCTAATGATTGGAGGAAGCTCAGAGGGAAGCCTCTAGCTATGACTGCAGCCTGCACAGTTGCTATGTGCTTTGCTTTAACCTTCTGACCTTCCATTCAGCACTGACACTTTAACTCTGTGCCTGTCTTGAGCTCACTCTTACCCCTATGACCTACTGACCACACACACCTTTATTTGCTCACATAGTCATTTATTTACTTGCTCATGCACATCTGTCCCCTTCCTCACCTTTAAGACCCAGCTGAAGTTCCCATTCCTAGTTGGGCCTCTGGTCAAGTTACTTAACTTCACAGTGCCTCCATTCCTTCAGCTGTGAAATCAAGATAACATATGAAAACCACTTAGAACCGTACCTAGCTCAGGTTAGCGTTCAGTGTACCTCAGTTCTTATCTTTTCTCATACCTTGGCTCCCTTTCCTGGGCCTCCACGCAGCCTTGTGTTTATCTTATTCTTTTCTGAGTCTGTCTTCCCCTCTGGTCTCAAAGATGCTTTCTGAGGAGGCAGGGCCTTGTTGAGGTCATGTCTGCTTTGAGCTCCATGTACACAATCAAAGGCAAAAAGGCAAAGCTCCATGTACACAGTCACATTGATGTGTGACCTTCCATAGCAGCTTTTGACATCCTAATCCAAAGGAGAGGAGCATGAATGCTGGGGCTTAAGGCTTTAAAAGGTTGAGCAGGTGGAAGGGGTGCTGACTTAACTCCATCTAGGAGTCTAGTGTGAATGAATCTACCTGAGAGTATGCGCAGAACTTCCTAGACTGGGGCCCCTACAAGCAGAGGCTCAGCCCTTAGTTCCCAACGAGGCTCTCCCATGGAACTCCTCCACTGGTTCAATTGCTTTCCTGTTCACTCCTCAAACAAAAAGGTGGAATCCTGGAATTATGAAATGTCACAGGCAATAGGGACCTCGGCCAATAGCTTCATTTTAAAATAGGATCCAGGCTCAGAATGCAGTGGGAACTTTCTCTGGCAACTGGTTTGTCTTGGGGTATGAGTTAAACTGACCACTGACTAGAGAGGTCTTGTCAATGCCCTGCCAGCAGGTTCACAAAGGAGAAAGCTATGACATTGATAACAAAGCTTTAGTCAAGTAGGTTAGCCCATTGTTCCAACAGGTTGGTTTAGACTCTATTCAGTCAGTTCTGACACCTGCTAAATTATTCTTTAACTTCCTGCTCTACAAAAGGGACTTTGGTTTGCCAGACCACAGGACCATACACTCTGCTGATTGAACTTCTTTTGCCTTGGGTAGTTTTTAGCAGGCAGCTGAACTATCCATATTCTGCCTCCAAGAAGCCCTCTTTGATTGCAAACACAGCACAGTATTTAGCACATCAACTCTGCTTGGCTTTAGAATTCACAGTTAGAAACCGTGGGCTAAATACAATGAGTTGAAATTTGTCCCCTAGTTTTTAATGAACAGAATGCCACTTTACATTCATTTTTACTCATCTGTTCATTCTCTCCTTCCTGGAATGGTCCATCTATAACCAATCAACAGATATTTATTGGACACTTCCTGACAGAAACTTTGCTAAGAGTTGGAGATAAAACAATAAGTGAGACAAAGTTCTTACATTTTTGGAGTTTATGGTTTATTGGAGGGGAAAAATATTAAATCATTGCCCTATGTTAAATGCTGCAAAGAAGAGCAGAGAGTGAAGGGAGGTGAGGATTCAGACGGTCACACTGACCAGGTGATGATTAGGCAGAGGACTGGAGGACAAAGCAAAGTCACAGTGTTATATTACTGGCAGTAGTGCCAGAGGTAAGGGGGGCGGTTCAGGGATTTGGGGAGTACTGTCCCCTGGGGTCAAATGTTGCAGAGCTCAGAGGAGGGGGTGAGTCTTCTCCAGGGTGCAGGCCCTGCAGGCTCAGTGCAGATTCGGCTTTGACACATCACGCGACACTGACCCCTCTCATGCCACCTGACCTGTGGCCCGGTCCAGCTCACGGGATCCCCCTAAGTGCTGTCACTGACAGACAGTGAATGTAGACTCTTACTCGGGAGGAGGCTGGCTTGGCCCTGCGAAGTCAGCTCTTACTGCCCTCCTGGGCCTCCCGAGGGGTTGGAGACCAGCCCTCCCGAGCGCGCACCGAGGGCCGAAATACCTGGACACGGAGGCAAGGAGGACCAACGACAGGCAGAGGCGGCCTCCGGGAGTGCTAGAGCGGCGCGGCCCGAACACCGGAAGGGGGTTTCGCACTTCCGGCCCTGCGGTTCTCCCAGCTGCTGTGCGGGTGTTGCGGGAGCCGTCTGTCAGTCGGTCGGCTGTGTGTGTGTGTCTGTGCGCACCGCCGCTATGTTCAACGCGCGCGCCCAGCGGCGTCCGCCCAGGAGCGACGTTCCGCTGTCTCGCAGCGTGTTTGGTGTGCTCCTTTCTTGCCGGACTTGTTCATCCACCTGCCATGGTGGCCAGTGGGGTGGACTGAGTTCTCTAGAAGGGGTGGGGGTGGGGGGGCCCTGTGGCTCCGCCCGATCTCTTGGCCTTTTCGTTCTGTAATGGGGTCCGGAATTTCGAGCAACAGGGCAAGATTGAGGATTGTTAATGGGCTGTGCTTCCTGGCTTGGAGCTTTCCGCTGTGCGTGATCTGCTCTGCGTGCAGCTGCTCTCCCTGAGTCTTTTTGCGCGTTTTTCCAATTCTGGAAGACATTGACTGCTCCACCAGTGTGTGTCATTTCCTGCTTCACTCCCAGCTGTACTGTTGAAAGACAGATGTAGGGAAGAAATTACTTCACCCTGCCTTTAGATAATAATCATTAAACTTAGGCTGGACCTGCTTATGGGTCCTTTTCCTTTGTAGCCCTCCTGCTTCCTTCTTTTCCGGGAGAAGAAAACCCTGCCATGGCAACTATGTTAACAACCCGGCCCAAGGTTAGCCGTGCTTACTCCTAGCCTGCTTCACATATACACCAGGTCTCTGTGAAGCCGGTGTGGCACATAAAAAGGCAAATTTGGGATCTTGTATCAACTCTGTCACCCACTCATGACATGATCTAGACCATTTCATCTTTTTGTCCTTGCCATTCTCTTAAGTCACAACAGGAGGCTGAAATGCTATTGCAAAGGTGTCAGGTTGTGTATTTACTACTAAGTGCGTTACTATGTACTAAGTGGCAGAGGTTGGAGGGATAGAAGAACTGAAATGATTCACCCTGAGCCCCTGTCCTGGGCATGACTCTACACTGATCATCTCCATTGCCACAGGGACCATCATCCTTATTTGAGCACTTACCTTGACCTAAATATTATGCTAAATACTTTACGTGTAATTATGCTATTTAGTCTTCCTATCAACCTGTGTCAAGAATACTGTGCTTTAGAGATACCCTACAAGAATTCATGGAATTCAACATGTAGATGCAGTTATGACTAAGATTTATCCCAGCTATATAGTAAGATCGTAAGAGTCTGGAGGAATCCATGTACAAGTTTCCTAATGCTTTCTCCCTCTTACTTTGGATCACACAGAACTCCCTCTTTTAGCAATGAAATTGCAGCAACATGTATACTGTGTTTATGCCTAGGGACGTTCATTGGGGAGTCTGCCCAAGGTGTTACTGGGGGACTGATCACATAGGCACCCTCAGCCTAGACATGCCAACATTCCAGACTCTCAGAAGGAAAGCAAGTGTTCAGCATTTTTGTGTATTGTTAGTGTGGATAGTCCAGGAGTAACTGGGCACTCTGAGAGTGAAGTTCTAGATACTAGCCAATGGCTGATCTTATAAGTGGTCCTTTTCAAAGTCTCTGCCTTGTTAATGCCTTTGTACACAAAACCCTGAGAAGCTGTAATAGTGTCATTTTGCAGAGGAGAAAGTTGAGTTCAAAAGTAACTGCACCGCCAGCACGAAGTAGAGCCAGGGTTTTAATGGGTCTGTTTACTTCAGAACTTGAGCTCTTCTCTACCCATCTTACATCTATCTTGTCTGCTCCAGGGTCTTCCTTAAGTTCTCTGCACTTGTTCTTTCTGCCTAAAATGCCAGAGGAGGGGCTGTTGAGCTCGAGCTGCACAGCAGTATCTTTGCATGACTGGTTTCATTTCACCATTTGAGCTTCAGTTCAGATTTTACCTTATAAAGGACTTCCCTGACTACCCTATGTAAAGTAGCCTCTCTCTTAAGTTACTTTATAGCACATTGCCCTGTGTTTTTTTAATGTGAAGTAATCCCATGTCTTTGTTTATTCTATATTAAATCTATATCTTCCTCTGTATGTGCTGGTAAGTTGGCACTCAGAAGAAAAAGTCCTGATTTGCCAATTTCTGTGTTGCAACTCAATCACCATCTGGCTAATTTCATACTACCAACACAGGGTCACTAGAGGAGGAGTTGGAAGAGATGTTCATTATCAGTTTACCTGAGTCAGTGTGAGCTAATAGCAGAATAAACTCTGGACACAAATATGTTAGGTGACAGCCAGTTTGAAAACAGCGAGTTTGTTTATACAAGTCACTGCCAAGTAGGTCAGAGAAACCTAAAATGGGGAAGTTAGGGTGAGAAAGCAAGTTGTAGAGTATCATTCCATAGTCCCTATCAATAAATAATTTGCATAGGCAGGATACTGGCTTAGGCACTATCTGGGAGACAGACATTTAAAAATTATTCTTCAAGAGCTCGCAATCTGTCAAACAATAAAATAAGCATATATCAAGTAGGCACTAGTAAAGGCAGTGCAAACTACATGCTGCTGGGCTGTCAGAACAGTTTATATCCTGATGGGA